AGCTTTATCGTCTTTTTCCTTGGAGTTGAAGAGTTCCAATACTTAAAACGGAAGTGTGTGCTACATTTAAATCTATATATACTGTTGTACACTTCTTATAAAACAATTTTGCATAAACAAAACATCTAGAATATATGTTTAGTAATTTTTGTACATGTATATTTTTCTTTGAATTATACAAGAATTTTCATCAACTGATATCTTTTCAAAACCTCTGGTAATATATGCTGATTTTTTTTGTCTACGAACATCTCATGGCACTATAATCTTTAAATAGGAATATCTTGAAAAATTATCGGTAGGTAAGATATGTTGCGTATGTCCTGAATCTAATGCCTGCCTTAACACAACATGCAGCTTAAAGAGGTATTTCCTTATTATTTTTTTTGTAATTTTACCTGATGAGCCACACTCTTTTTCCGTTTGCTTCAGAGCATTCTGAAGATCAGAGTAAGCTGGGTTCTGCTGACAGCCCTTTTCCTGGCTTTCTACACAGGTTTTGAATGTCCTATATACCCCACTGAAATGAATTTCAACATAAAATCACTCAGTTTAAATATATAATAAGTGGTTTCACCCTAATCCTAAAAGAAAGTTTGAACAAACTTGCTTTCATGGGAATGTGACTTATCTTGGCTTTAATTTGCTGTTTTTTCAATGCACTTCAATATTAACAAAACATTAATTGCCTTACATGTATGTGGCCCACTCCTAACCGAAGGGGTCAAGAATTGAACAAAATTGTTTAAACATTTAAAAAATGTTACTATATCAATAATACTGGTATTACTCATCATGACTTTAATTTTCCTTCTGTAGCAAGTTTGTTAAAAATTGGTCCAGTGGATATGAAGAAGAAAGCAAGAATATAGAAAAATAATACAAAAACAAAGGAAAAACTTTAATTAGAAAAGCTTTCTTTAGTCTTCGGCTACAATGGGTTTATTGCCTGACGTCACGGCGTCAGGCAGTATAAGGATTGATATTTCCAAGATCCGAAAATGTGCGACCATATCTAAAGAGCTAGATTTCGTGCAAGCTGATTTACATTGGAATTCTTTACCTGCATTTTAAAAGAAACAGTTTTCAGAAAAAAGAAAGATATTACTGATGCAGAATACTGCAGTGTTTACTTCCTTTAATCTTTTTGCATGGAACAGATTATTCCATATGATTTGCCGTTTCAACATGTCCGTGTATCCTTTTTTTCTGCATTTCTATACTACTAGATCAGTCCATTTATATTCTACGAAAGGGGTGAATCGCTCTTTTCGCGCCAGGTGTCATTACTAAGCTATCTTTGCGCCTTTTCCTTGGATTGTTCTATTGTATGAATGGGTGTGCTAACTTCCATGGAATTAAATAAAGTTTGTCCTTTTAACTTCCTTCTAATGCTTCAGAAATTCTATCTTCAAGTTTTATACCATTCTTTAAAACAACATACCGTATACATCAGTATACATGGTATATGTACATGTGACACTAAAGCAATGATGTTTCTAATTTGTTTACCGATCCCGCGGTTGGACGATCGAGTCCAATAATAATAAACAACGCAGTTCAAGCCATCGTCTCCAGATGCATGATCTATTATATGTCTTTGTTCAGATGCACACGATATAATAAGAAAGTAGTGAATAATCTTGGATATTTCTTTCTACAAAGCCTAACTATTGAATTTACTTATTTCATTCTCAATATATCATGTAATATGTGATAGTGTCACCCCCCTCCCCTTTTAAGAAAAAATATAATGAACACACATATTACTACTGTTTACTTTTGAGGAAAAAATACACTCCAACAAAATGTGTTTTTAATTATATCCATCTTTTAAAATGTTCACAATGCGTTTGATAACAGGTTTTATAATAGGTGTTACAATGTAGCTTGAAATCAATTTAGATCCAAGGGCAGATCACTCCACTTGCAGACCCCACCCCACCCCTTTCAACTACAAAGTTCTTTAGTATGCACTGTAGAGATGATTCTTCTACAAGTTCGGTAAAATCAAGGTTCTCAAAATATAAAGTTAGGATATTTTTTTAAACCCACAAAGTATTGCTCAAAAGGGTTATCACTCTTCATGCAGATAAATTGATTGATTTAGTCAGGCAAGCTTTTTAAAAAGCTGTTTCTTGTAAGACAAATGATTACAATCAACAAATGAAAAAACAATTACATTACATAAGTTGTTAACTTTACCTGGCTCCAAGACAATAATCTGAGAACAGACTTCAGTCAAAATTTATATATTTTGAATATTTTCATTATTGTTTAAGGATCATGCTTAAAAACTTGTTTGTTAAATATTTTGATTCAAACATAACTTGAAATTTGTTTTCCCTTTGACAATTTATTTCAAAAAATACACAGATCTGAAATATTGACCAAATTATATTCTCAATTTATGGTCTTGAGGCCTGAATAAATACAGAGTATACAATAAACATATTGGATTAAAGAAGTTTACCAGCTTATGTTTGGTGGTGAGTCACCTCCATCATTATCCATTTTTATTCCGGCATCAGAGTAGCATTTCAATAAATTGCAGCCAGAATCTCCTACAAAATGAAATTTCGTAACCTCTCATCTCTATTTCGGATTTTCTTATTTTATTTCATTGTGCTAAAATGTGGATATTAGCTAAAATTTTAACTAAGTATTTTTCAGAAGTTGATTTTTAATTGCATTTCAGAAAGCGTTAAATTAGTGCCGATCAATACATGTAACAGCGATCGTAAAAGTAAATTATTTTTAAGATGAAAATCTGCTGAAATTTAAACAAACCTTAAATTTGTTCCCCTTTTTAAAGTGAAAATTTTTGTTGTTCCAGTTTTGTGAAAGAGAGGGGACATTAAATCTCATTCATTTGTCTGTCTGTCACTAAATGTTTAAGCATGGTCATAACTTTTTAAGGAACAAAAACATGGCTTTCATATTTTACATGCACTTTGCTCGTGATAAGATTTACTTTTAAAGAAAATTAACAATAATCAAAATTCATTGAGTGAGAGAGGATGAAAACTTTATATTTCAAATATACTTAACATGTATTTGACAAGACTTTTCTTTTATGTAGTAAAATTTTAACCTCATGACCTTGATATTTAAGTTTTAATTACTTATTAAAAATTAACATTAGCAATAACTTTTGAATTAGAAATTTTAAAAAATTATCTTAAATTATGCGTGCATTACTTGAGACATTTTTTTAAAAAGTGTTCTGAACTTCTTAGTTCAAAATTTAACTGTGGTCGAGATTTTCGACTAGAACAGACAAGGATTTCACTTTTTTTCATATGAATTACTTATAACAAGATCTTTCGGAGGAATTTATCTATTTAAACTCATGGACTCACCTTAATATCTGATGCATTTTTCAAAAAAAAAAATCAGCTTGGTCTTAACTTTAATTAATTAATTTTTTTTTATATGAACAGACAAACAGGACAAACAGAAAAGAGAGTAAGAATAGGCCATTAATTAATGCATGTCCATCAATATGACGAAAAGTGTAGGTTCTTTGAATTAATTTGCTTATATTTCATTCAAACGTCAGAAAAAGACTAATAAGTAGTTACCGCAATAACTATCAGCCATAGATATACCGCTCATCATCGACTGAAAGGTTGAATCTGATGCGCAGGTACTTTTGTATGGCTCAATACAGCTTTTCACCCCTCTAATCGATCTGTAAAGTATAATATTTATGAAATTTAAATATCTATCATAATTAAACTATTAAGTATCGTATTCCTGGCAGTGTAAACCAATCCATTTTTGTTTCTGTGTGTGTGTGGTGGTTTTTTATAAAGATATGCTATACGGATTTTCCAAAAGCATATAACCCTGATATATTTAAGTATAACCACGAAATCCCAAACGTACATACGATAATTAGCGTCTGGAAATATTTCAATAAAGCCAACAAATTCCAAAAGAAAGTCACTGTGAATTACTATTTGATTGAAATTATTTGAGGCTTTCAAATGCATCACTTGAGAAGGTTTGATAATTACATGCTTCAAAATGTCAAAAATATATTTTAAAACAATTTGAAAATGAATGAAATTATAAAAGTAGGACATTGTGACCTACCTTTTAAGAAATATGCTTTAAAGTCTCAAGATGCATCAATTACTTATTAACAATAAGATTTGATGATTATTAACCTCTTAGTATCTGAAATAATAATCTCAGAAAGTAGGTCACGGTGACTTACTTTTTAATTAGCACGCGTCAAAGCCCCAAAATGCATAAACTGAAAAGAATTGGTGATCAAAGGCTTCAAAATATTGAAGATATTCAAAAACCAACCTGAAAATTAATACAATGAATTTAAAAATTCATAAAGTAGGTCACCGGAACCTTTTTATGTCAAATGATACTTGGTCATCAGATGCATCAACTTAAGTATCCTCAGCCTTATAGAAAGCACAATATCAAAGTTTTGAGAACACATAATTTTTGGCAACTTTGAAGTGATCTTAAGGACTAAGAAACCACTGCTTTAATTGTCAATTTTTTTTAAAACTTCCCAACATTTCATCAAATGCTATTATAGTATCAGAGGTATGAGGTATGAAGTGCTGTATTTATTTCAGAAATGGTTTTTATATCTGATCATTATATGAAGAAATTTTAACACAGAGGATTGAAAAAGTAAGGATTTATCACAACAAAAAATCAAAAATATGAAGTGTATATGAAAAAATTACTTAGTGCCATGCATATGAAATTCATATTAGAAAATAAAATAAAGCGCTGCTTTCTAAGTCGGAATTTCACAATGTTATATGAAGTTGTAAGAAAAGAATACATCTGTCAGCAAGAGTTATCTTTAATGCGAATATTATTTGCGTTGCAAAAAATGTTTTACCAACAAAAATTCCACATTTGATACTTAAAACATTAAACAATTTTTAACCTTTACGTAAGTTTGGTGATAATCTGCCCAGTGGTTCTTGAGGAGATCTCCTTAGTAAACAGTACTTTTCATATATTATTTCCTTAATTATCTCCATTTCTTTAAAGGTATACCCCTGTTTCTGGTATAAAAGAGAGCCCTTAGACCAAAATATCTTGTGACTTTGACAGAAACTGGTTAATAGGTTTTTGAATTATGGCCCAAATTCAAAATGTTGAAGCACACGGCACACCACACAAATGTCCTTATATAAGACCTTTGAGCCTTTGCTCAGAAGAGCTGAAAATAGTTTCAAAAGAATTTATTACTGAAATTCTCAATTATAAAGAGTCAATTTACAGGTTTAGTAAGGGCTAGTGACTTTATGGCCATGGCTTGTACAAATTACGGATCGTAGGCCAACTGGTCTAGTACTGTCACATTTTTTGTAACTCTTGTTTTTTATTGTACAGACCCGTAGGAAGCAATTTCAGTTCGAGGGGGGGGGGCAAACATTTTCAGTTAGGAAGTGGGGTACTATCAACTACAAAAATTCCTTTGAAAAGCCGAAAAAGGGGGGGGGGAGGTCATCAGACGTTTTCATTGACCGGACAGAAGATATAATAGGTAAGGTTTATAAAGTATTCTGTATTTTGCCCCCCACCCCCTGTAGTCCCAGTTCCTACAGCTATGTTGTATCGATAATATTTAATGACATTCAAATTCCAAAAGTAATATATAAGTTCTTCCAATACACGGGTTTTTTTTTAATTGTCCCTTCTGAGTCTGAGTGGTAAGAAATATGTCAAAATACACAAACACTCACGCGCACAAGGCCTGTAAATCTTGAGCTGACAATGAATCCAATGATCCCATACTTGACATATCAACCCCCGCAAAACATTTGGTCATCTCTCCCATGTTACATTCTGAAGACACTCCTGAAAAAGTATTTTTGTGTATTATGAAAGAAATACAATCAATAAAGTTTAAATTCTACATGTATATAATGCAAAATCACATATTTTCGTGGGGTCAAACTTTCATGGTTTGATTTTTCAAGATGCACCATAACTGCACATCATCTGATGATAACCTGCATTCAGTTTATTTGCTTATCACGTTTTGGAACAATTTTTTTTTCAAGATTTTCGCATTTCACTGTATTAGGTCCCCAGCCTAAATCTTGAACATCTGCCAAAGGGCCATGGATTTCACAATTTTGGCAGAATACTAAGTGTTCATTGTAAATTTGCCAACAGTTTGACTGTTTCATGTTCACGAGTGAAAGAATACGATTTTTATAGAAAGTTCTTATTTTCATGATTTTAGCCCCACCCTGCGGCCATGAGATTTTACATTTTTTCTACCCTTACATCCATTGATGCTTTAAGCAAAAGTTGGTACTGTAGTTTAGTTCAAGAGCTTATGACGGATGAATAATGCATGATAACGGATGAAAACGCTAGCAGCGCAGAGGGATGAATAATAAGCATACTGAAAGGAAGACTGATTCTCTCACAATTTTTGTTGTAGAATTTTTACTGTTTGGTTCAAGCCACTTCAAAGTAATCCATGAAAAGGTCTTGTCACAATTAATAAGAAGGTGAAGTATGAAGACCCTAGCACAAACCGTTTAAAAGTTATTCCAAGGTTAGAATTGGGTAAAATGAAGCAAATTTTAGTCAAGGTCAAGAGGTCAAATGTATTGGTCACCAGATGTCCACCTTGTAATTCGTATTTTTGCCACATCCTAACCCGGGGTTCAAGATTTGAACAATGTATGTAAAATTTACACTACCTCATAATGCTTTTATATAAGTTCCAGCTTTTCTGTTTTCAGTTTTTCTCGAGAAAAATATTGTTAACTATTTTCCCTACAGATTTCAATATAAAAGTTGGATTCCCTATTATGACCACACCCTATCCACGGGGGTTATGATCTGAACAATTTAGTATCTACACTACCCCGGGATGCTTCCTTAAATTGCCAAGTATAGTTATCGAGTTATCGATTCTTAAAAACTTTTTCCTATTTATTTAACTGTAAAACTTGGATTTCTTGATGTGGCCACACCCCCTGAGGGGATATAATTTGAACAATTTAGAATCTACTCTGCCTCATAATTCTTCCATAAAACGTTCAGCTTTCCTGCTCTAGTGGTTAATTCCTAAGAAGAAGATTTTTAAAGATTTTTTAATATATATTTCAATGTAAAACTTGGAAATCCCATTGGGCCAAAATAAAATTATTATTTGTTTGGAATTGCCTACCGCCTCATTGAAATGTCCCCTCCTGAAAAAATTTTATTGATCAAAGGTAGGAAGATTTTATTTTTTATTGCCCATTACATGTATCACATACACCATACAAAACAATGAAATATAGTGTCAGATCTATGTAAAATTAGGTTTTTTTGATAGTAAATACTTTTTTAAAATTTAGAAAATGTATTTACTGTTTACTGAGATTTTTATCAAAAATTTAAAATTTATGTTCAATAAAAAAAAATATTTTCCCTCCCGCCCTCCTGTGTCTGAAACCCTTCAGGCGGCAATTCCGAACAAACAATTTTTAAGGATGGTCTTGTGGTCACATCCTATCCTCGTGGTTATGGTTTGATCATTTTATAGAATCTACTCTACCCCAGGATGCTTTCATAAAATTTTCAGCTTTTTTGGCCAAGTGGTTCTCGAGCAAGTGATTTTAAAAGACTTTTCATTTATATTTCTAATGAATGTAAAACTTGCATTGCCCTTTGTGGCCCCACACAAGTGAGTTTTGTAGACAAATAAACGAAGGTCGGCGATCTATACTGAGGTTCACACTACTGACCTTCGTACGCTCTCAGGAGCTATAAATAAACAATTTGCCTTGCAAATGGTTACGGGAATTTAAATATGCAACTGACAGTAGATTGAATGGTACTGTTTACACCCTTAGGATGTACATTTACCAGTACCAGTCTTTCAGCATCTATTGCACATAAATAAAAATACGAGGGATGGGCATTAACCAGGGAGGTCAGACTCGGTTCTTTTTAAAGTGAGGAATAGTTAGGCAAAGAAAGGTTTGTACATATAAAAAAAAAGAAAAATGCTCATTACCCGATGGCTAGCTGCGTGGACAAGCGTTATTTTAAAAAAAACGTGGGCGGGGAATGGTTATTCATAAAATGGAAATTCCGTTTAAATTTATTTGAAACTAGAATAAAAGGGGATGGTCCATTTCCTTCTCCTTGATAATTTGTTCCTGGTAATTTTTTGTGACTTTATCGTGTTTATCAATGTTTATCAGAAAGTACAAATTGTGCTATACAAGCACAGTATTGGGAATATCGGTACTGACGATGCAAAGTTTTATTAAGAATCTAATATAAGAGGAATATGCTTTTAGGAACTAAAAACAACTAAGAAATTGCATTGTTATTTATCCCTACTTTTCTTTCAATTTTGTTCTAAATTTCTTGACAGGGGATGGGTTGTTACAAAGAATCGCTCCGTCAGACAGATGGAGGTCGAATAAATTACCACAAATACGAATAACGTATAATCCCTATTAACCGCCCCCGCCCCTATCTGCGCTCCCTTAGGTCTTTTTCAATGGTCAGGAAATAAGGGTCCCCTGTACAGTGATTAAAATAAAAAAGAATGGTTTCAAAAAATTGAAGAAAGTGAAAATGAAACTTGTCTTTTACCCAATATCTCGGTGGAAAATGAATAATTTAGCATAATTTAAATATCAAAAAGAGAATACAAAAAGAACCGCCCCCTTTTTGCAATTTTCTAAGCCCCGGGGCGGTTAATAGGAATTATACGGTAGAAGTAATTGTAACGCACGTGTCGTTTGTGTTTTTAGAGACAATTTATTTCCTTTCTTATACAACTTGTTTTACATTTTTTTTAATACACTCTATTCTTTTTTTAACCTTCTGATAAATCCTTAAATAGAACGTCTTTTTTTATGTAAGTTATTTTTTGGCGACAAGACATGTTCTCTGTTCCCGGCGTTTTTATCCGTTGAGGATTGCAGATCACTTGCCGCCGGAAAAACTCGGATCGATAAGATAGGCTAGACTTTATTCTACTTTTCACCCATACTCACAGACTCCTCACCCAAGACAAGGAATGTCTCATCTCAGTTTGAATGCATAGTTATAACTAATTTTAAGAAAAAATTGTCGATTTTATCTTACCTGAGAAGAACACAGAAAAAGTAGCAATTCCGATTATAAATAGAGAAACCATTTTGTCTTTCCTTGCAGTGGGTCAATAGATGCTGTCAAATCTCCTTTGGATTTTTTTTTTTATACGCACACACACATACACTCTTCGATGAATGCCGTCTGCGGGGTTTCTAAGGGGAAAGGTTGTGTTTTACGATAATTAATGCCAACCTCTTGAAACGTTGACCCAGAAAAGGCGGAGTAACTGTCATTATTCAAGAGAGAATGCTTCAAATGAGATATGCTATTTATAATACATTTAATGATCATGACGAATGTTTTGATGAATACGTAAAAATGGTAAACCCAGATGCTAGCTGGGGTGAAGAAAAACCCAGTTTTTTTTTCACTTGCACATTTGTAGGCGATTCTGGCTTCGTTAAGTAAAGTAAAAATTTCGTACACTGAATGTTCCAAAATAAAAATTGTTAATTGTATAAAGATTAGATATAAATACTATTAATAATTTAAATATCATGACGCATGTTGTGATGTATACTTAAAAAAGAACGGTAAACCCAGATGCTTTTAGTCATGGAAACCCCAGTTTTTATTTCCTCTTGTGTATTTGTGGGAGTTTCTGGCTTCATCAAATAACCTAAAAATTGTATACTGTACATGTACAGAGAACTTAAGTTTTCTGTTCCTAATGTTACATTGTACAAGATTGTTTTATAGCAGCAAGGCTGTTGTTTAATCGAGAGAATAATGCTGACCAGCACAATTATCCAGTAATTAAACAAGAGGCCTATGGGTATCATAGCTCACTCTTGTCAGCAAACAAAGTCTGCATATTAACAAACTCCTTACCCACAACTCTTGAAAAGTTTTTAAAATAATATTTTAGCCCCCTATTGGGGCCCCAGGGTGCCATTGGATCTGACATCCTGAACATGCATGTATTATTAATTTTGTCCTTAATACTTTCCAAAGAATTTTGATACATATTTTTATGAAAATATTTGATCTCGTTTTCTGGTCCTAACTTACTCTTGGCACCATGTTTTGAACAAACATAGATTTTCACCACCTAAGAATGTTTGCATGTTAATATGTTTTATTATTAATTTTAGTTAAGTGTGCCTTGTTGCATTACGTAACAATCTTTTTCAACAGATGCAACCAGCGTAAACATTTCACGTGATTGGTCAACATGGTCAACTCATATTATCAACATTGACGCGGAAATAGTCCGTTGCATGAGCAACCAATCAGGAAAGCTTGCAGTAATTATAAGGAGGCGTGTACTATTTACCTTGAGAGCAGCTGTAATCATAGGTTGTAACGTATTGAAAAACTGGCATACTTAACTGAAATTAATGATGTAACAGTGCTCTGTGAATATTTAGGTATAAATCCTTTTTTTTTAAAAAATGGTATCTCTACACTTTGACCCCACTATAATTTAAAGGGGTATCCGAATCGATCCACCAAGGGGATGCTCTGTGACTATGAATAACATGGCCAAGCAGTTTTGGAGAGGAGAATTCGTTTCCTCTAGACATGCACATTATGTACAAATTTAATTGAACCCGATTCTAGCCACCCAGCTCTTGCCTGAGGTCGGTAATGATAAAATATCCGCATGACTGGGGAATGTTTGCATTTTATAAAAAGGTACAATTTTATTTCTAACCCTGAAATGTTACGGATAACTCTTTCGTTCTCAGTTCTAACAAAGTGCATGTATGTGTCGCAGTCACACTCGGTCAATAATGTTATATCGTGAATAATGATGGTTCGATGTTTTAATATAAATGCAAATAGACTATAATTAATAATTAAAAGTCTGATAAAACACACGCGCACTCACATACAGATACACAAAGTATTTTGAATCGCATTTTTTTTTTTTTGGTATTCGAGGTTTCAGATAGAGAAAATTTATGAAAATTAGTATCTTAACAAAACGACTGCAATTTCCGTTGTTTCATTATTCATGCGTAGATAATTTATGACTACTACAGATTTTTAACATTAGACGGAGGACAAGTAAATATCTCGAGATGCCAAGAGTTAAAACAGAGTGTTTCTAGTGTCGCTCTTACATTTACATCTCTTTAGTTTTTCTTTTCCCACTCAAAAATGTCTTAATTGAAAATGACCTCAAGTTACTGCAAACTTGAGCTGTAATAATGGGGAGAGTGTCTGAAACTATACACCTTATTTCAATCTGCATAATATATAAAATGTCAGAAAGCAAGTGTAAAATAAACGTGTCTTAATCTTTAATTGTTTTTAAATCTAATGTATCCGAATAATTTAGATAACTGTATTATTTCTCTTGTTTAAAATTCACCGTGTTCAAAATATATATATACGGAAATATACGTTTGACATTTGTCCTTTTTTATACCCGTGGATAGAAGCAGGATTTAAAATAAATGTATAAAAGAGCCTGGCGCAGGTGATTAATGAGGATTAATTTGAGATCTTTTGTGGAAATTTGTAAGATGAGGCTTACCTCTTACTGAATCTTTCTTGGGGAATATATATGATAGCTTTGTTTTTAAACAGATGTCGATATTGTGTGGAAAATACCCTCAGATTTGTCGGTAAGTTGAAGTTATTATAAATTAAAAAAAAATTTGTACCAGAGTAATAGTATAACTTTTCACAAGCACGTTTCGGGTTCACAAGAATGCAGCGAGTTTATTTACGTAAGAAAAAGTGAATAATAATTGTGTTTATCATCTGATTCATGTGAAACACTTCAGAAGAAATAGAAATGACCGTCACATGATCAAAGAGGTCATGTGATATCGTAACAAATATTTTTATATAGCCTATAGAACTCTCCATATGAAGAACTGCGAAAGATAGTATTGTTCCCCCTCCTACCACTAAGTCAATTTTCAAAAGTTAAGATATTTGAATGATTTTACATACTTATGTTGATATTAATATGGATTTTCATTAAACATTACTTTTTAGGAAAACAATGAGCGATAACTCAAAAAGTTTGGTATAACTCGTGTTTTTTTTTTTTTTTATTTTTTTTTTTACTATACTGATATCAACGGAAAATGTTTTTAAAACTTCTCCCTCACCCCATGCAACAAAAGATGATAGGGACTGTCATTTCACAAATTCATTCCAAAGTTTTCTGTGTTTCACGGGGGGGGGGGGGGTGTTAACATATGTTTATTTAGCAAAAACGACAAAATGATTATTTTTTCAGCAATTTCGAAGTTCTTTACATCTCAAACATATACTTTACTAATATATATGCTTACTTATATATGCATAAAACAAAAAAGATTTTTTTTAAAAATTCATATCAAAGAATATGGTGATGCATTATAGCCCTATTTCAGTGGAAAATATCGTCTACCCCCCTTATTTCAAGAGCTGGAATTTTAGGGTTTTACTATCTAGCGCTACGAATAAAATAATCAATTACCACTGAACTGTTATTTTATATTAAACAAAGATTTTATGGTCAAATTGTCATCAATATTGAATTAAAATGTTGTCAAATGTATGCGGGAATCGGGAGTTTCCGTGCGTAGTTCTTTGCCATGTTTAATGGGATTTAACCAATCAAGGTTAAAGCCATTTATCAAAGTGAAATACATGTACCTTATTTTTTTTTATTTTGATCGGGTTCGGCTGACAGTGTATGTTAGCCAACCCGTATAGAATTATTCCTCTCTTTCCCGGGGTTATTAGTGTTACCTAAATAGTACATTTGACGTCACTCCACGTTGTGTCATCAGTCGACGCTGAAACTTTCAAAGACGACTACAGATAGACAGAATGCCGAAGCGCAAAGCAGACAGCAATAGTCAGCCCACGCCAAGGAAAGGTCAAAGGAGAGGACGGGGTCCTCGATCGGCGAATGCTGTTGCTGCAGCATCGGCTGTCCCCTCATTGCTGTTGGATCCTTCAGCACATGACCATTCTCAGCTACCAGAAAGCAGCCTTCCAGCATCTCCGCAACCAGCGGTGTTGACAGCAGACCAACTGAGACAGGTCACTGAAAGCGTAGCAGCTTTGATAAAGGAATCACAGGGGGGGGGTGTAGTAGAACCAGCATCCTCCCCTATTTTGGATGAAACATCAGGTGATACAATTATTTCTAGTGCATAATGTACCCAGCTATGACAATGAGTTAGGACATAACGTCCCAAACAATGTAAAAATAAAGATTGTCAATAGGGAGTACAGAAATTTAGGTATACTGCTTAATGATGTCCAAGAAACTGACCCCAATGATGACACCAAACATTTTTCTCTAAAAGACGGGAAACTTGCAGTCACGACTAAGCTTAAAAGCAAAACCCATTACGGACATACAAGTATGGACTGACGCTTTCCTTATCTTTTCTACGATTTATGCATCCGTTCATACCCATGCAGCAGTATCTGTGTTAAAATATATGCACACAATACGGTTAGGCGCCAGTCGTATTACGGAGTTGGGCTGGCAGGACTATGACATCCAGTTCCGACTTAAAAAAGAGCGTAATCCTGAATTATCATTTGCAGTAGTTGACCAAGAGTTGTGGCTGCTCTATATGTACAACAGACCTATGACGGTGCAGACTGTGCAGGGATCAGAACCCAATCACCCTGCACTCAAGTGTTAAAGGCGCATGTCCAAGACAACAATGTATTAAAAAAAATCCAAATTGTTATTTTAGGCTCATTAAAGTGCCTTAGATGATCTCATTTCCGTATACATATAACTAATTGTTTCACATGACCTTTCAAACAATAAGTTAGTTCAGTCTAACTAGAGTAACAGTGTTAAACGATACATACCCAAAACAAATGTTCTTATCTTTCATATAAAAGAGTTAAACTTCATTTTTTATCCATTTTTGATTGTTGTTTAAAACCGGATATTGTAGTAAATGTAAACATGTATAGAACATGAAAATCCGAGAGATTACTAACAAGTCCAAATATAAGCGTTTGAAGGAAAAAAGAAGCAGCAAGGTATCAATATAATCAGTGTTGACGAAAATAAAAATACTTATATACATGTGTTCGGACCATGCTCGTGCAGACTTTAGAAAGGATAACTCTTTCCTGAGCTGATTCAATAAATTCCGTTTACTGTGTAAATAATATTTCTTGTTTTATGAGCGTGGAAATGGTAGCCAGTTCCTGGTTTTTATTCAAAAGTAAAACTATTGTAAAGACATATAATCATAAAAATATCAACATATTTTACCATTGTTTATAAACTCTTTACGTAAATTTCTATCCTTTTTATC